AAAGGTAATTGCAACCACTTTTTATATGCTGTAAATACAATTACTACCATCATCATAATTTATGGCACTAGTCTTTAGTGTAAACACATCTACCTGCACTATTGAAATATGCTGTAATAAGTTGTGGAAGGACCCTGAGATGGTGAATTAGGCATTTCTTCAAACATGACAAATTTCAAAACCATGGAATGATCCACATGCATTTCTTTACCTACACAATCCATGCAGGTGTTCATAATCTGATCATGGAAAAAACATTGTACAATTTGGTTATAAAGTATGAGATTACACCATTGTAACCATCAAATGGAGAATCATGTTCCAAAGGGTTCCCTCAGCCACAATCAGATCCAAGACCCCAGGTCTGAAATTATTCAACACCAAAGATAAAAAAGGTAAGGTGATTGTTCAATGAATGCCACCCATTCTTTATGTTTTGCTAGATACACAGTTAGCCCTTTTTCTTTTAACACCTTGTGATGAAGGTTGCAGCAAGATTAGAACAAGACTTGCTAGGATGTTTTACCATGTATTGAAAAAGATTCCCTAAGATACAACAAAACAATAAAAATAGCTACCTAAAAAAAAGAACTCCATTTCAGAGGCATGTACAACAATATTAAGGTTGCTTTTACCTGAGCTTGAGAATCAAGATCTATGTTCCATCAGCTGGCATCATTGAAAAATCATCAGATGGAAAATACACCTACTTCTTTTTGATAGGTTTGGATAGTCCTTCAAATCAAAAGAAAAGAATACCCCTACTTGTGTTGCAGGAAATTGGCAAAAAGACCATATTAAAATCCCTTATAAACGGATCAGGTCTCTCTCTATAAATGCTCATGTGCAAATGAATGTTCCTGATGTTATGGGCAACATTAACATCTCAATGCCAATGCGTCAGACAGAATTATTTGCAGATCAGAGTTTTTGATGTTTATCACACAAAGAACAAGCTGAAGAAGCATAGAACTCATCAACGTTCATTGTCTTGCAGTGTCTAGAAAGCTCTCAGCAAAATTCTTTTACGGGGCTTGGAGCATGTCCGCGTGATGTTGATGAGATCACCAAATGCAACAACTGTATTATCATTACCATTTGTTATTCTCTTGCACAGAATATCAAAGGCCTTCTGTTTATTAATAAGAGATTTTACATCGTAAATGACTCCAGTGATGTTCGCCATACAAATCGAGGATTGTATCGAGGTAAAATAGAATGTAATTGAGATAAGAGCCATATTCATATGCATTAGCAACACCAGAAGTTGGAATTTCTAGGTTTTGTGTGAAAGGTATGAAAGTAATATTATTCAATGTCTTGCAAATTAACTTAACAAAGTTCTTGCTCACCTTGAATAACAGCCTGAAGATATTTATTTTTTCCGATCACAATTCATTTTTTTGCAAGCACAAACAAACATTCCAGTATTCCTTGTTGGAACAACTCGCAACTTTTTCATCTGAACCCGCTGCTACAAACAGATCTATCCTTCCAGGATCCAGCCCAGATATTTTGCATCCATTCAAATCAATATTCAACTTTTTTCTGCAGTCCAACTGATATTGCAAGACCATCAATTTATATGGAGTAATCAAAGATTCGATTTTGAGTGGTAATTTTATTAATATTAAATGTCTCCCTCCATCTACCAAGTTTCTCATTCAGTTTTGAATCTTTGAATATTAGTTATTCCTTCTTTTTCAATTGATTTATACATAAAATATAAAGCACCAGTATCAACTAATATGTACTTTTGTTGGAAAGAGTATTCGAGCAGAAATGTAAAGAGATTAGGGTCACATTCTTAATTATAATTGGTAATGGTGGAAAGGATGCTATTACTTTTACAGATGCATTATCAAGAACTTGATTTTGGAATAATCTCTGCTACACTTTCGAGTGAATATATTGAATGCGTGTAGTAAGGTAAATTATCAATAATATTTGAAGGGATAGAATGGGGATCTCGATTTTTCAAGTTGGTAATGAAATGGTTTATGACAGAGTCAATATGTTTTTTTTTGGTAAGGGAAATTGACGAATCTTAAATAATTTGTATTTTATCCATATTTTAAGCCGATTATTGAGATTTTTTATTATGTAGTTTCTGACAATTTGTAACATATTGCCGTGCAGCAGGGGAGAGGAGTTGACCTATCCATTTTTTATTCGTCCAATTCATTCTTCGAGATCAATATTGTGTAGAGGGCATCTCGAATGTCATTTATTGACGGATTCTTTGGTGGTGTCAGGGATATTTGGTTGGATGTAGTTACATCTTGGAAACATTGCCGCACATACTTTAAAGCACCACCACTCGTGTTGAAATTGATCACCAAGTGCTACGTGATAAAGTGCTGTTTGGTTAGCCAACCGAGAGCCTTCAAAAACAATTCGAGTCATTCTTTTAACAGCACTTTGGATTGCAGGTTCAAGACCTTTATCTTTAAGGAATCTTTCTAATTCAGTTTTGACTGTGCATTGTTTATATTTTATTTTTTTTTCCTAAACAGATTGGGAGCACTAAGTTTTTTAAAGTTTACAATGGCCGTTTGAAGATCGGTCCCTTTAGAAGTTGGACAAGGACGTTCTAGGTATTTAAAAAAAAAGTTATTTCTAAAAAAAAAATAGTAAAATATTTACTTGGTTTTTTTCGGTTGCTCTTTGTTTATGTCCTCGTTTGCTTTTTTAGCAGCATTTTTAGAAGATTCCGCATATGGTATATCTATTTCTATATTGACCATTTGTATGTATAAATAGTGTTAATTAAAATTAAAGTGTAATCAAATAAATATTTTTGAATTCTTTTGAGAAAAGTTGGAACTTTTCTTGGAACAATTACAACATTTTCTCATAATTTATTGGATAATTAATAAACAATTCAATTATTAATTTATTTAAAAAGTCATAATCGTTGCGATTTTTATTATTCATTGGACGTGTACATTGTATAACAATTAACAAGTGATGCTTTTCTTATCGGCAAGTGACTTTCTGAGGGGAAAGTATCATTAGAGTTTCTATTCGTAATACAGATCCTTATTTATTATTCATTTTATCCGAATTCATAACAAACAAAACAAATAAACCTTATTCGAATAGAAGCCTATTAATATCACCACAAGGACTATTAAAGAAAAATATAACTGATAAAGAAAAAATTTTTAATTGTATTAGATTAGCATATATTAATATTATTACTATCAGTCGTATTATTCGAATAAAAATTATTCAAATAGAAACCCTACTCAATATAACCAATTACAAAGTAATAGTTTGCTAATACCAAGGTCCCTATCATTAATTGGCCGAAAAAGCAATAGCTTTTTATTGTTTGCTAAGATCCCTCATTAGTTGATCGAAAAAATATAATGATTATAATTAATGGTGACGACAAAAAATAGGGATATGGATATATACATTAATTTTTTCTTATTCTTCTTGTAAATAATTATTAAATTCGTGTTGGTCTCAACACAGCACGGAAGAAGGCAGAGAAAATTGAGTGATATTACAAGTTAAAAGACCAGCAGGAGGAAAAACGGAAGGCTATCAGGCATCTCTGGGGGTAGAAAAGTTTAAAATGAACATTCTCGAAAATGAAAATTTCTTCTCAAAAATCAGGTTTAATAAAAAGATGATCACATGTCACTCGGCATGATCCTTTTCGTGAAACTGCAGATTCCTTTTTAGACAAATTAATTCTGAAATGAGTATTGATAAATCCAGTGTTATGATCCAATGGAACGAAATTGTAGAATTGTGAAACATTCGTTTGATAAATATTGATGATTAAACATCTATATTATTTATTACTTTACAAATGACTTATTCCTTAACACGTAAATGACCTTCGAGATGTTAATATTAATATAGCAATAATAATTCGGATATTGTTCCTATTAAAAGAATGAAAAATGGGATTATACAATTATTTAATGAATAGAAGTTATCCTTTCCCTACATACTTTTTTTTTCTTTAAATTCTTTTTATAATTAAACAATTTTTTTGCAATATCTGTTAATTGATTTATTTGTAAGAATTTTAATTATATTAAATATGAAAGACAATAAAACTAGCCCCGACAATATTCTCAATTCATTAGATTCGCTTACTTCAATTGAAACTATTAATAAAAAAGAAAAACATAATAATAAAAACAAGATAGTCAATACATTGAAATCACTTATTAAAAATTTAAATTTCTTTGGTAAAAAGACAGACAATGATAAACTAAAAAAAGAATACGGTGGTAATGACAGGAGAGATTCAAATGTATCAGAAAACGTTCATTGCAGTGATAAAAACCACACAGTCAATTCAATGGAGCCATTTACTAACTTGCCAAAAAAAAAGGCAGACAATGATAAATCAAAAGGACACGATGATAGTGACAGAAGCAATTCGGATATACTAGCAAATGTTGCTGAGTACTTTAAAAATAAAAAATATGTTGATAAAGAAAAAGATAGAAATAGTATTGTCTATCTTGATGCTAAATCGTGTTCATTTACTGATTTACGTGAGTTTTTTAATATAACAACTGACAATGATAAACAACAAGCAGACAATTTTAATCTATCAGAAAATGCTGTTGATGTTTATAAAAATAATACGGACCGTTTATTTAGCTATTTATTTAAAGCTTTTAATAAAAAAATAGACAATGGTAAACAACGTCCTAAATCAATATCAATAAGACAAAAATTTCTGGAAACAAATAATTCAAAAAATCACACCAAATCGAAGGCATTTGTGCGGGAACTTTTATTCGGATTAGCAAGGACCAAAGTTACTATAAAGTCATGCAATAAATTTAAAGTTAGAAATTACGATTTTATTTTAAAAATTCTACAATAAGAACAAGCTGCTTTGCCTTAAAACGGGGGCATGTCACTCCAAAAAGTATGTACTTATTAAATTAAAGCAGATTTTCTTTTTATTGCGAATAAATATTTTATTGATTGTTATATAAAAAATTATATTTTGAATATTTTTGAAAAAGGAAAAACGTGTTAGGACACTATTCGCGTTGTCAATCTAAAAAATGTTAAAGATTACCATACTATGGTAATGTAAATGAACATAAAGAATGTGATTATTTAAAAATAATTAATAGTTAAATATGAAAAATATGGTATTCGTCATATAAATTTCTCGCCTAAGGCCGAGATACATGTTAGGTCCCTTAGTAGATGGATAAATCAGTCAAATTTGGTCGAGTCGAATTATCCGATAGTGATGTGAGAGAAGATAAAGGATGGATAGTTAATAGCCTCCCGGATAATTCCAATGGAAGTGGTAAAGTCCTTAAGTGGGTAAAATTGGGGAAATTTTATACTCAAGTCATATGAAAATCATGAGTAAGGGTTCACATATGTGGTGCGCTATTTGTGGTATCAATTTATTATAAATCATATGAAAAAGTTTTTAAAAGTCATAATAATATTAATTTTAAAAGAAAAGATTAACTTCTTGACCAGTGCAAGAACAATCAATCAACCGTTTAATTATATTTTTATATTAATATTTCGAGTCTTGCTTATAATAATAAGAAGAATTATTATTCAAATCATTTGTTTTTTTTTCGTCATTCATTATTCGCTGTTTTATTCGTTTTACTCAAATTACTCGCTTTATTATTCATTTTATCAAATTATCTGTTATGAAGATGCTGACTGATTTGGTATGTAGTATCGAATTTTCGTGTGTAGCCGAATATTCATTAGATACTCGAATATAGTCAAATGATTATCATCACTAGTTATTGTTCCAATGGAACGAATTTATAGACATTCGTTTGATAAATATTATTATAATAATTATTGTTTTACAAATAAACTTATTCCTTAACACGGAACTGATCTTCGATATAAAATTTCGCTATTTCTATATATATACTTGAAAATTGTGACCAAAATGGGATTATCTATTTTTTCCCCAAGTTTGTAATGCATACTTTTTTCTCTTTAAATTATTTTTATTATTAAACAGTTTTTGTAATTAATTTATTTTAATTATATATTGAATATGAATAATAATAAAAGTACCATCTATCCCGGAACCACTTCTTCACTTTCTCATAAAACATCAGTTTCATTTACTTTATCTGAAAAAAAAAATAGACAAAAATAATATTGCCTATTTATTGAATTTGTTTAATTCAATTGAAACTTTTAATAAAAAAGAAAAACATGGTAGTAATGGCAGTAACAATTTGAAATCAGGAAATGCTGATGGTAGGGATAAAAACAACATAGTCAATTTATTGAATTCATTTACTGATTTATTAGATAAAAAGACAGACAATGACAAATCAAAAAAAAACACAGTGATAGTGGCAGCAAATGTTGATGGTAGTGATAAAAATAACATGGTCAATTTATTGGATTCAATTGCTGATTGTTTTGATAAAAAAACAGCTAAATCAAAAAAAGAACATGGTGGTAGTGACAGAAGCAATTGTTATAAAAATAATATCTTCTATCTTGATGAAAAGATAGACAATGATAAACAACATCCTAAATCAATATTAAAAAAATTAAATCAAATAAAACAAAAATTATTAAAAGCAATCAATTCAAAAAATCACATAACCAAGTCAAACTGAAGGCATCTTTGTGGAACTTTATTCAGATTAGTGGTTTTTTTGTATATGGGGCATGCTGCAACAAAACCAGACAAAGTGAACATTTGTATTACCAAAAATTTTCAGGGCTCAAAAATTTTAACATCACAATTGTGCTACCATGTAATGTGATTAATATTTGTTTTTCATCTTTTATATGGGATTACCTCTGTATATAATAATTAATATGAAGCTAATTTACATCAGGTCTACTATGGAACCCAAGAATTATAGTACTATCAGAAGTATTTTGAAGAAAGAACAAGGTAAAAAATTGCTCCTTATATTTTCAAAATAAATGATACTCAGGCATTGGAAACTTATCTAAGAAAAGAAAGGATTGCTTGTGAAATTTACCAAGAAGAAAAAAAATAATAAATGTTAGAAAAAGAAAGCAGCATGAAAGTGTGCTATTGCTAACAAAAAGCAAAAATCCTTAAAAGGAAAATAATCTTATTTCTATACATGCAGCCCAAATTGGTTTGGTGATTTCAATGGTCAAAATTATTCCAATTTTGATGGTAGAAAGTAGAAATTAATTATGGCACTCACTATTAAAAACATAAGTGTAACACCCCTTTATGACATGTGTAACCCCTTTATGACAGTGTCAAAATACTTTGGGCTGCATGTATACTTATTTCCTTTGAAAACATAAATCATAACACCTAAAAAGGTTATACCTGCTATTCATCAAATAGATTTATCATCATAATTTTCTTAATTCTTTGAAATATTGTTTTTATATTCATTAGCAGCTTTGGCAAAATCTTCATCTTTTAAATCAGAGGCAGTAGTTTTAACATGATAGATATTAGATCCAGTAGTGCTATGATTATGTTTGTAATCAGGAAGAATGTAAATCTTATTTTTTATCAGTAATACTGCAACTGCCTTTTTTATTATCATTGGATAATCATCAATAAGAAAGATATCAAAAGCCAGGATATTTTTTTTTAACTTTATCAAAAGGAAAATAACTATCATTTTCTTTGATAGTTGAAATGAATTTAAATTCATAAGAGGAAAATATTTCCTCAATCTTTAAACTATTTTCTTATTTTCAATCAAGGTCATTTTTTAACTTCAATTTGAGCAACTAATTGATCATTCGTTGCTCTTTTAATCTCTTGTTTTCCTCTTCTAGTTGCTTAATTTTTTCTTCTAAACTCTTTATCTTATCCAATAATTCCTGCTTTTGTCTTTTGTTTCACTCCTCTGACTTTTCTTGAAATTTGGCTACTTCTTCTCTTTCAATATTTAATTCTTCTTTGGCAGTTGGTAACTCTTTTTCTAGTTCTCTAGTTTTATTTTCTAAATGAGAACTGAAAGCCTGTGAAAGTAGATCTTCGTCAGAAAGTGGCTTAGTTGATTTAGCTTTTAAATGACTACAAAAGCATCTATTTCTATTTCTCTTTAACTTACCACATTTTCACATCAAGGGAGAGTATTATTATTAAAGATGGGAGCTGCAATCATCTTGTCAGTCTGCAATTATTGTGGATTTTGGACAGGTGTTGCAACATCTTTCTGCAATTATTATTAGATGAAATTTTCAACCAGAATATCTTAACAACCATTAAGTAAATTTTGATGAAATGAATTTCTAAATTATCTGAAACTCCTAAACTGTTTTTAATATTAATACTAGAGAGATGAAACATGGCATTTAGTTTATGAAATACAGGAACGTTTACATTCATAAAATGAAATTTGTGAAATTCATTAAAGGTTACACACATATTCTTAATATTAAGGGATTTTTATTTTAATTGTAAATGTTCCATAAAATATTGTTTTTATAGAATATCAAGCTTTTTATTTAATGCCATGTTTCATTTCTCTGCTATTAAAAACAGACTTAGGAAACATAACTCTAGAAATAACATTATTTAGATAAACTTTAATTTTATCTGGGGATAATTGCGGATATGGAAAATATTTGCAGACATTGCGGACATTTAAGACATTTTTCCATAATGTTGCAACACTGTGTTGCAACATCAAGAGTTGTAGCATTTTAATTGCAGTGCCCATCTTTAATTATTATCATAATCCTTTTTACATTCACCACAAATAAAAATGATGTCAGAATAACCATCAGGAGTATTATGAGCTACCATTTGATGAGTGGCAGAAGTAGTATCGAAATTAAAATTAGTTGGATCTTCAAAATCTAGAAAACAAAAGTCACACTCTTGTTCATCTTCTTTTGCTATTCCAAAACTCTATATTCTCTAATTTCATACTAATTACTTACTTTTCTGAACAATAAAAGTTTGGAATTTCTCCTTAGTTTTTTCTTTTACTTTGCTTACTAATTTTTAAGTTTGCATAATCTATTTTCTTTTTGTAGTTCTTTGGTTGCTAGATAATCCCTTCAGTTTATTTCCTGATTTTAGCCAGCAAATTATTTTTCAATGGGTCTGTCTATTCAGTCTAGAAATTTTCCCATTGCATCATTATGCTTTAAAACAGTTTCAAACATTTGCCATTTTCTTCACCCCATAGCTTTATTTAATGCTTTTTCTACTTCTTCTTTCTCCATTCACACTTCATCTTCCAACTCTTCTATCCTTGCTTCTAGTTCCTCTTGTTTTGTCTTTAATTCTGCTGTTTTCTTTTCATACTCTGTTTTTTTGGTTAATTTTTTCACACCTAACCTATTGTTTTCTGAAATACATTGAGCACATTTTGAAGCTAATTCTTGTGAAGAATCACAGAGGTCACCTAACATTTTTTCAATAGTAATATTATCTAAATAAACTCTTTCAATCTTTCTCAAGATTCGATTAGAATGATTAGGATCTTTAGCCATTCTTAATTTATCTTCATTTAATCATTTTTGATTTAGTTTTTTGTATCAAAAAGGGTCAGTAGGATAACCAGTGACTTTTCAGATTTTTAGTTTAAGGTCTTCAACTTCCACTTCTTTTTTCTTATTGATGTTGTTAATTTCTTCTAATAGTTGTTTGTTTCTCTGTTCAAGTTCATTTATTATGTTCTTCATGATTTTCTTGTTTGTTCCTTTTTTTTTATTTATTCTTTTAACTTATATCCTTTTTATAAGGATATTATCCCCTTTTCATCACATTTTCCTTTTTTGTCACATTTTAATTTTGTCAATTTGACGAAATAATTTTCTGCCCACAAAAACATTTTGTCAGGTATCATTAATCAATTACATCACCAATGACATGTCTTTGGTATTCAACATTAGTAATAATCAACTAATCACTGTAATTCAGGTATAAAATTTAATTTTTTTTTAACAACTTATTAAAGGTCTAAATATATTATTTATGTGTTACATATTTGTGGCTAAAAAAAGTTCTTTTAGAAAAATTTTTTTTGACAAATTATACAAATATAATAAATAATTTTTTAAAGATGGAAAACACTTTAAGTGAAAATAAACATCTTGGTGATGCCTCTATTAACAAAAATGATGATGATGAATATTCAAAGATAAGAAATGAATGGTTTGGGAATGTCCAACTTGCAATAGATATAATACTAGTTGGGCATGGTGTCAATTATGTGATCCAAAGCCATTAACTAAAGGATGGACTAGTGGCAATGAAACATTAGATGAGTTGATTAAAAGTACACAACTTAAAGCAACTGGGTATGCTAATGATAAATATCTTCAATGGATTCCTTATAATGATTTAAGAAATATTGAAAAGATAGGTAAAGGTGGTTTTGCAACTATATACAAAGCTATTTGGTTAAATGGTGAAAGAAGTGTAAATTTTGGTCACAAAAGATTTAATAAAGATATGACTGTGGCATTGAAAAAACTACATGATTCACAGAATATTTCTGATGAATTTCTTAATGAGGTAAATTATTTTATTAATATTAGTTTCTGATTTTTTAAAATATTATTTATTATTATTGTTGTAATTAATTATTTTATTTGTTGCAAATATAGAATGGTTTTGGGCAAGTAATATCTTTGAATTCATCTCTAACAAATGGACGAATATTCTGGTAAAGATATTCTTGCCTTTTGTAA